TGAATTATGGAGAGTGTGGGGGGGGGGGGGGGGAGGGGACGGGACGGAATTAAGCGGGAAAAACGAAGGAACAGAACTTATTCTCCTTGTCTCGTAGTTATCATTGAGAACAAAGGAATTGATTTGTTGGTCAAGTGAGGTGATACTGATTCGATTTTGTAGGCGATAATATATAATTCAATTTGCTGTGTCTTATCTTTTTGCTGCAGCTATGGATAATCTGTAATCTTTTATATTTTATTCACCCATAAACTCTTATTCTAAGAATTGTCATATTGTAGCATTTACCCTCACTGTTCAATGATAGAGCAGAGCATTAATATATATATATGTACATGACTACTAGGCTCCAGGTTTTCTAACCACCAGCTTACAGAAAGGCTAAATGGAAAACAAACTAACAAATTAAAAACAGAAATTGAAGACATCATCAACTAATATTTACATGAACAAATAATCTTACACTCACTTATCTGGGTAGATCATGGATGGTTTTTTCAGATTGTGTTTGTTAAATTTATATACTGATGAATATATTATATAAATATTATAATATATGAGAATAATTTTTAATAAGAAAATAAAATACAATTTGATTTAAATTCATTTTTTTTTGTTGAAAAAGTGTATAAATTATTTAGTTAAGTAGTAATTATGACGTGCAAATGTAACTAAAATTTATAAATTTTTAGTAAAGAATGCATTATTATAAGCTTGTTGAAATCAATAAACTTGTATTTTTATTTAAATTAAATAAGAATTTTAGTATATAATAATAACGGTAAATGCTAAAACGACCGCGTTTCGTTGGAAAGAGTGTTGGTCGTCTTCTTTCACCGGTTTGATAAAGATGTCAATTATATTGAGAGTCCAAGTCGTTTCCAACTGGATTTAACAGTAAAAAGATGTCTTGGTCTTGTCCTCGAGAGAAGGAATCGGCTTCGGTTTTTTGAGTTGGGTGGGAATCGGCCTTTTCCATCGTATTTTGCATTATTGCGTCACCCACAAAGCATTTTCAACCTCTATTTGAATTATGCTAAATATTAAAATTTTAATATATAATATTTTATAAATTATATTTATTTTAATTTTTAATAATAATAAATATTATTTGATTGATAAATTTTTAAATTATTAAATTAGTGGTATATAACTAATATATTATTTGTTTTTTATTATATTTTCATCTAATTTAATTAATTTTATATTTATTCTGATAATTAAATTAATATGATAATATAAATAATTATTATTTATTTTGTTAAATATAAAATTTTAATTTAATTATATATAATAATTATTTATTTAAATATAAATATTATTATATTAATAAATAATTTTTTTTTACATATTTTTTTATACTATTTACTATTATATATAATGTAAT